TATATCGGTCCATATGGCATACTGCAAAACAGCAACCTAAATAACTCAAAGCAGCTCGTGTTTCAGAACAATGAAACCTGCAGACTTTTATGACATTTCACAAGTTCATATCACTGCAGATTGCAAGTCGATTCATTCCCTGAAAAAACTGATGGTTATGGAATAAATTACTTGGTAACACTTTAGAATAGGGAACACATATTCACTTTTAATTAAGAGTTTTCCCTCAATAAACTCCTAATTTGCTGGTTATTAATAGTTAGTATGGTAGTTGTTAAGTTTAGGTATGGGGTAGGATTAAGGGATCTAAATTATCATGCAGAATATGCAGAATAAGGTATGTGCATTATAAGTACTAATTAACAGCCAATATGCAAGTAATATGAAGCAAATAGGCCAATATGCAAGTAATATGCATGCTAATAAGCAAATAGTTAATAGTGAGAATTGGTCCCTAAAGTGTTAGGCACCGATCAGACAGAACGCGTTTTTCAGGTCTGAAAACGCGAGGCGCACCACACTGCCTTTTTTTGGTTGATTTAAGAAAAAAACAGCAGGGTGCTGGGGATTTTATGTTGCTAGGCAACCACTGAATTTGAAACTGTAAACTTTCATCAGCACAACGGAAGGCCCGCCTCTCCATTCATTCGATTGGACAAAAACGCAAAACGCAAATTACGTCGGGCGCTTTTCTGCTCAGAGTTGGTTTTTCCAACTTCAGGCGCTTTCCTGCAAAATTCATCCAAATATGAAAATTAGCCCATAAATTACTCACCCTCAAGTCATCCTAAATGTATATGACTTTCTTCTTTCAGACGAATCCAGTCGGAGTTATATTACAAATTGTCTTTGATGTTTCAAGCTGTTTAATGCCACTCAGCGGGTGTTGCATGCATCAGTTCAAAATAATTTAAATAAAAAGCGCCCATCCATAAAAAAAAGTATCTCACACAGCCCCGGGGGGGTGAACAAAGGCCTCCTGTAGCGAATCAAAATTTTTTTATCGAAATTTTGTAAGAAAAATATCCATATTCAAAACGTAATAATCACGTTAATATAGCTTGCGCCAACAGTTGTACACTGAAGCAGTTCCGGGTGGATGACATATGAGGTCAGCTTTGCGCATGCGCCGCTCAGAAGTGACGCACGCGGAAACACAGCTGAGAGATCAAACGGTCAAGAATTAGAAGTACAAAACGAGGATTTGTAAAGAAGAATGTCAGAGGATTTCGATATAAGCCAAGAGGAGACTGGTGAAGAATGTCGGAGGATTTCG